GTCATTAGCACCTCTAGTAATATATTTACTGAGAAAAATGTTGACGTGTTCAATACTTATTTTACCCGCTGTTTACATATTTTTGTGCACTCGTGTGCATGCACATTTTGCTGCACGTGCACGCTCACATTGTGAGACTAAATTATCTCCATATTTATTGAGCTCATGTTTAAGCAGTGGTGTTTAAAAACAGATACCTGCTCTGAAGCACACGGCAGTGACTTCTTTATCCCTTCTTGTCTCCTCAGACACATTTGCCAGCAAGGTCGCCGCCATCCAGGACCAATACGCCGACGCCTCCATCGGCAACGTCACCGGCTCCAACGCCGTGAACGTCTTCCTGGGCATCGGCGTGGCGTGGACCATCGCGGCCGTGGCCTGGCGCTCCAAGGGCAAGACTTTCAAGGTGGACCCGGGAAGCCTGGCCTTCTCCGTCACCCTCTTCACCATCCTGGCCGTGGTGTGCGTGCTCACGCTGCTGTACCGGCGGCGGCCCACGGTGGCGGGAGGCGAGCTGGGCGGGCCGCGGACTTGCAAGCTGATGACGTCGATGCTGTTCGTGGCRCTGTGGCTGATTTACATCCTGCTGGCTTCGCTGGAGGCTTACTGCCATATACCAGGGTTTTAAACGTAGAGGGGGCGAGGAGACCCACTGCCAAAACGAAGGGGGCGGAGCTCTGCTCACGTTTAATGAAAAGAGCAAGTCTTAAAAGTGGATTTTTTGTCTTTACGTTACTCTTCTCCTTCAACAAAACATCCTCACGAGACGCCAAAACTCCCAAATTATGTCAAGACTTTTTAATCTTCTCTAAAATCACAGCTCGTTTACAGAAGCCCCACCTTCCTCCAGTCCAGTTCCATTATCAACCTACAAATCTAAATTATTACACTACAAATCCTTAATGCAAGTTGTTCCAGTTTAACACCAAACCAGCAGCCGAGAAGAGAACCGTCCAGACTCAGAAGGAAAGTCGGTCGAGGAGATGAAGAAGATGGCAGCAGAGAGGTCTTCCTCACTCACCCCCTTCTGTCTTAAAACCACGACTCGGTTTCCAGCCCTGGATCTTTCCTCTCAGATCCTCCGAACTTCAAACTTTATTGCCTTTCTTTTTTTCCTTAAAATACAAACACTCACCAGGTTTGGGAGCCCTCAGGTGACTCTGCGCCAAACGTACAAGCGAAACACCGTTTTTATCTTCGTCATCTCCAAGGATACACTGTGCTACGATACCCACAGACATAAGCCCCGCCCACTTCCCTGCCTTACAGTCATGTGACCCGTAGGAAAAGTCTTACAGTCGTGATAATGAACCTCTGTAGTCACAAACCTGAGCTAACCCCCCACCCACCCACACCTCTACTCATTTTTTTACTCTTCTCAATGGCGTCACGTGTTGATGTTGTTATCGTGCAATTGTAAAGAAACAAAACAAAAGACAGCAACAATAAAAATAKAACTACAGTTTGTTGGTGCGAAGAAGGAGAACTGTGTCGAGACTCGATGCGATCGAAGAGACACAAGAAACATGGAGACTAACGGAGCGCGGAGCAACGGTGGAGTTAAAACGTTTACATTTTGAAATTGTGAACAACCGGAGCCGWGGAAAGAACTCACGAAGGACCAATCAGGGAGGAGGACTGTGGCGGCCATGTTGTTGACAAATCAAAAAAAAATATTAAAAACTACGACCAGTGTTTCYAACTGTACATGATATTCTACAAACTTTTATCGATGTGTGTGAGAAAAATGACATTTTATTTATGTGAAGCCCACCTCCCTTCCTCTGTGRAAAGAAAAGGAAGACAGGAAGTCGAATCAGGAAGGAACTTTAAGGCAGCTCTGAAATATCAGCATCATTGGACGTTTCTTTGTATAAAACAAAAAGAAAATATCTGTTATATTTGAAAGAATCCTGTCTTGGATCACTTACCGTACGTTTCAAATGTGCTGTTTWACTTTGCGGGCGTTTTTTCAATGTGAGTAAAACTGAAAGTGTTCACAATACAATTAAATGTGCTAAACCATTTGGTCTATTTTATGAGTAAATCTGTGCCGCTTGTTTTTTTTAAATTGACTCAGGCATGAGTGACAAATTAAAAGGTAAATATTAGCTGTTCTGATATATAAAGCCTCATCGTGACAAATGAACTGTTTTGTCTGTTTGAGGAAGTGTTGAAGCCCAGAGTTTGTGTTTTGTTGTGTTGAAGCCCCCCGTCATGCCCAGGAGCAGGACTTGGAGCTGGACAGAAGGGACGGCATATGGATCGTCAGTGAGGCTTATTAATAATTGCATTATTTTTTGTGTTGACCGCGTTATCGGAACAGAAAACTGTGCTGGAAGTGTTTTGGTTTTTTTCCCTTCTGAACGTTCACTGTGTTGACCTCTAACTTCAAGGGAAATCCTCCTGAGAGAAAATTATAATTAACTTTAACCCACCTGTGCACTCAAGTGGAACTGAGGACTACCTACCTGCCCAGCATCCACCTTGTTAATTATGGTCAAATTAACCAACTTAAATCATTTTATACAGCCTCACTGAGGTTTAGTTTTGAGCTGAACTAAAGAATAGAAATCTAGTTTTTAATTTTTTTTATTTTGGGGGATTTACCGTGTTTCTGGATCTACACCAGCATCATAAA